TTGAGATCTGAGGGATGATAGCAATAATCTTGATGGATAAGTGGGAGGAAATAATAGGCATAAGGATAGCAAAGTGTACAAAGGCAGAGGATGAGAGGGAACAGGGAACTATGGAACCACAGAGGGTTGAGTATGATGGGAGCTGGAATGGAAAAATGGGAACAGGAAAGATAAGCTGGCCCCTGTCTTGCAGGGCCTTCCAGGACCTGATTGTATCCTGGGGGCAGTGGCAGCCACTGCAGAGTTTTAAGTGAGGTATGTTATGGCCTGACGTGTGTGTGCAGAAAGGCCAGTAATAGTGCATTTGTTCTCTTGAACCTGGGCACATGGGTCATGGAATTGACTGCAGAGTGTCCATGTCCAGGTGATGCCCACTTACAGCTTCAGGCAGACACAATAGCACAGACCACCTAAGAAACAGACACTAAGGATCTATAGCGACCTAAGTAACTAGTTTCATAATGGAAGACCCCAACACTTAATAGAAAAATATTAACACTAAGTGGGAAGTGTTGCCCCTAGATGTAGCTAAAAATCCTGTACTATCACTTTTTCCTCATGGGTCCTTGTATATTTATTAACACACTAGAGCAGTGGTTCTCAACCTTCCTAATGCCGCGACCCCTACAGTTCCTCATGTTGTGGTGACCCCCAACCATAAAATTATTTTCGTTGCTACTTCATAACTGTAACTTTGCTACTCTTATGAATCGTAATGTAAATATCTGATATGCAGGATGTATTTTCATTGTTACAAATTGAACATAATTAAAGCATAGTGATTAATCACAAAAATATGTAATTACATATGTGTTTTCCGATGGTCTTAGGCAACCCCTGTGAAAGGGTCGTTCGACCCCCAAAGGGGTTGCGACCCACAGGTTGAGAACCGCTGCACTAGGGGCCTGATGCACAAAATTCGTGCAAGAGTAGGCCTTCCTTCCCCCGGCTGCTGGCACTGGCTTCCCTCTAGGCCTTCCTTCCCCCGGCTGCCGGCACTGGCTTCCCTCCGGCACCCAGACTTCCCTCCGGCTGATAGGCACCCAGGACCCAGGCTTCCCTCGCAGCCCCAGCTTCGTCCAGAAGATCTGGAAGGACGTCCGGAAGGACATCCGGTCTAATTAGCATATTACACTTTTATTATTATAGATTACCATTATTACCTTTACCATTACCATTATTGCCTTCCTCTTACAACACTGCTCACCCCTCCTTTTCCTTTCTCAGGGTAGGCTTATCACATCCTCCAGTACCTTAGTTGTTTTCAAGCTACAAGCCCCCAAGGCTCCAGCCTTAGTCCTCTTCCTCATCCAAGGTCTAGGTACTAACTGACCATTCCTCCAGTCAGTGAGGAAGGTTGATTCCTTGGGGAGACTCAGATGCCAGAGAAGGAGAAGGCAATTTTCAACCCTAAAACAACACAAGCCCATTCCAAATTCTGTTTTTGGAAGTCACCATACATTATATATTACACCTGTTAAGAATCTACTGATGCACCAGTTGGACTCCTGTAAATATGCTCTAAAAATAAAAATAACTTATCAAGAATATCAGAATAACCAAATCAAGTATCCAAAAATTTCATGGAAAATATATCAGAACCACACCTCGTTCAGATGGTACAGATTGGACAATTTCTGTCTTCCCTCAATATTGCCAGGTCTCCCAAGAATCAGAGGACTCACTGTGCAGGCCCACTGGGACCCCAGGGCTTTAGGAGCTGCCGAATACAGGTCATCCCAACTGGGGTCCCATGTCACAGAGTTCACATTCTATTCATTCATTTATAGAAACATTGATTTGTTGTTCCACTTGTTCATTGATTGCTCTTGTATGTGCACCGACTGGGGATCAAACCTGCAACCTTGGCGTACCTGGATGATGCTCTAACCAACTGAGCTACCTGGCCAGGGCGAGTTTACATTCTTGAACTCAAGAACAAGTATAAGTGATTGCCAGCTAGTTTGACTATATCTTAGCATGTTTTCCAGATAAAATAAATTACAAATTCTATACCATCTCTAATAAAGTGCCATTGCTAAGTTTTTGAGTTCAAATATCTGGATCTTGGCCTAGATTAAAAGCATACCATTCTTACATCCCTACCACACAGCATCAAATGAAATCTGTCCTTTAATTTGTTTAAATGTCTTTAAATTCTGTACTGTTAAATTCTGTATAAACTACCTTCATCCAAATTGAAGTAAACAAGTAAATACATCTCCAGCTCAATAATTTATCTGATTAGATTTTAATAAGCCAAATTTGTATTCTGAATTTCACTGTATTCCTATCTCATTTTCTTTTCGTAATAAAATGGAACCCAATTTCATCAATTATTGTACAAAACCGCCTTTCAACAAAGTGTAGAGTAGAATGTCCGTTAGCTGCCACCCTGCTGGAGTCTCAGGCTTGTCTCACTTCATCACAGGAAAGGTATTCCTTAAGCCCAGGGAATCCCTGAAGTTCTGAGTTGGGTCTAGCTCTCAGGTAGAACTCTTTGGGAATAGCCTTCCATTCCTTTTATTTCTACTTGAACTTGCAGCCCGTACTTGGGCTAACACTGACGTAAGATTTTTGGTTTCACCATTTCTAATTTCCCTGTAAGTCATAGATTCCTCCTTCACTGACTAGTAAGTACACGAATATGCAAACAATAGTTTGACTTATAGACTCAGGACATTTTATTGCCGTAGTGAAAATGACAGCATCATGAAGTGTCCACAATGCTGTCTCACGGCCAGTATCTGCATGGCTCTTGCTTTGGAACTAGATATCCTCGACTCAGCCCCTGCAGTGCATTCCCCACTCATCAACCTTTTACTTAGTATGAATTATTTTTCTTTTATTCTTCGGTAACCTATTTCAGATTTTGTTGTACTCTTTTTACAGTTACTAAACCAAGGAGATTTAACTGAAAGACGGACATGAGCATGGGTATTGAATCCTGAAGAGCACTCTATCTGATCCCAGAAAGCATATAGTGGGAACAGCTTGCTTATGGCTCACAATCTGCCAGAATCAAAATGAATCTGTGAATGACAAGACCCCGCTTTTTCCTCTGTGCATCTTCCCTGGCAAAGAAGATGAATGCAAGAGAGCTTCTCTTCAGACTCTCATCTGATCCAGAAAAGGAAGAAAGCAGGGAATGTGGGCTAGGTCACTGTACCTACCTCTCTTCCCACTGGAAAATTTTGGGATGGACTTCTCCCGAAAAATGAATTTGATTATGTGTTGGCTGACCTATCTCAGTATAACAATTGAGAAGAGATTTTCCTATGAAGAGCTACCATCCCAGCCTCTGCTGTCTTACCACGTGGATGAACTAAGTCCTGCCACCAACCATAAAACTTCACCAAGACGTTGAGCTTTCAAGATGCCTTGTTGCTTTGGAGAAGGGAGTGATGTCAGTTCTGTTGTGATACTCTCCCTTTAGCAACCTGAGTAAGACACTCTCCGCCAGTGGGCTGCAAAAAAATAAATTACTTGAATCCCTACTTGGCCCAGGCTGAGGTACTATCTTGTCCCATACACCTCTACTTAGTCACTTTGCTTTCTTTGTTTATGGAACATACAGTAGCATGTTTAAAGGGCTTTTTTTTTTTTTTAAGTTAAATCACATGATTCAGAGCTTCAATTGTTTTCCCTTTAAATAAACAAAATAGCCCAGTCAGTTCTTTGGCTTCTTGTTTTAGACAGAATTTGTTCTCTTAGAAGATTAAGAAAGAAGTTCAGTCTTCACCTTTAAGATAAGGTATTGATTTACCCTTAGGATTCCATGCAGGTAAGACCGAGCTCAGGAGTCTTGGGGAACATGACATGAACATCTTCATCTCTAACTAGCAAACCCAGATGATAGCTATTGCAGGAGTGTCACTCTATCCCCATCAGAAAGAACCATGTCTGAGTCTGGAAAATTAGCAATGAATTTTCCCAGAAAGTTAAAAAAAAACAAAAACGAGAAAGGTGCTTCTGTTAGAGTAGGCACTCTTGCTATTATCCTGTCTCTACAGCTACTGAGAGAACATCTAATTATAATTAGTGAGTATTCCAAAGATCACTTACTAGTAGAAAATCATGGCTGTCAAATTTATTTAAAGTGAATCTCATGCTGACACACACACACACACACACATGCTCACTGATAACATTCTAAATATATAACAGGAAAGAACTGCTTTTTTAAATAAAGTAATTATAGTTCTCAATTTGTTAATGACATGTATATAATCACATTGTGCTATGTAGATTGAGTTCATGTCAATTACTTGTATTCTTAAAATGCCAGTTTTTACTTCCTGTAGCCTCACTCTTATACTAGAGCAGCGGTTTTCAACTGGGAACATTTTGCCCCCAACTCTCCTAGGGACATTTGGCAATATCTAGAGACATTTTTGGTTGTCACAACTGGAGGGGTGTTACTGGCATCTAGTGAGTCGGGGCCAGCATGCTGCTAAACATCCCACAGTGCACAGGACAGCTCCCTGTCCCTGCACCCAGCAAAGATTCATCGCCCAAAATGTCAATCGTGCTGAGGCTGAGAAACCCTGTGCTAGAAGTTGCAAACTTGTCATCCCCCAGGTGTTTTATTTTGCCTGTACAATATTTCCAAGTAATTTTTAAATTAGGTGACAACATGCAGATTTCTGGCTTCTGTTGAAAAGGCAGTTGATCTGGCAATTCTGGGCCTGTATTCCAGCAGAGACTCCAGTCTCTACTGTCCCCTACTCCCTTACAGCCAGCCCATTCAACCCATTTATTTTCTGACTAGCCTCTGTAGGCATTTGGGCCCGTGCCTTTTTTTCTGTCCCTAATGTTTTAGCTCGGCTACGATCCCTCCACCCTGAGCTTCACTTTGATTTACTTGAACCATTCCCTGTTATCTGCTACTTTTCTTTTCCTCATTCTCCAAGAAGAGCCATGACTCAGAACCCAAGTTTTTCCTTGCCTTGATTCAACCTTAGTTGCTTAATATTATTGAAAAGCAGTAATGAAGTGTACTGGTTAGGCAGGTGATTCGAGATTATCTAGCAGTTCATAAGACGGCTCCTCCTGCTCTTTCTTGGGGCTGGTAGGCTGCTCTAGAGGTTCTTCTAAATCCTGCTGTGGATTTCTGATGCCGAGTTTTGTAGTTTCATGGGTGCTGCAGAATAAATAAAAATATGAAAAAATGTTTAAAGTATGTAAAGCTTAAGGATGGTCTCAACATTTTTATTATTTTATATGGGATGCAAAAGGAAATTTCTAGGTGGAAAATGGGGAGAGGAATTAGGACTTAAGAAACAACAAAATTGAAAATATTAGAAATGCTTTACTCCCTTTGATTTATATGATCTCAATGGAGGAGGTGGTGCTAATGAGTTATTTTTAAAGAGCACTAGAAAAACAGTTTTATAATTTTATGGGAAATAAAAATATACATGATTTTTCAAAAATAGTGGAAATACTTTTGACTGGTGGCATTGGAACTGGAATAGAAAAATGATGTTTCAAATTTTAGGAATCTAGACCTAATATACAATGGTTATATATGTATTTTTAAATATATTTTATTGGTTTTTTACAGAGAGGAAGGGAGAGGGATAGTTAGAAACATCAATGAGAGAGAAACATCGATCAGCTGCCTCCTGCACACCCACCACTGGGGATGTGCCTGCAACCAAGGTACATGCCCTGGACTGGAATCGAACCCGGGACCCTTCAGTCTGCCGGCCGATGCTCTATCCACTGAGCCAAACTGGTTAGGGCTACAATGGTTATATTTTATTCACAACTGCACTTCTCTCCAAATTCAAATGTGTTATCTGGAGATGTCTGGATAGTATTCTGTAAGTACAAGATAGTGATCTCAAAATATGAGTGGCTGTCCTAAAAGTTCCTGCCAGGAGCATTACAAGGGATGGCACCTGGAGGACTGCAGGGGGACGGCAGCATCGGGGATTACCTGGGACGATCATGCACGTCTAACTGCGCCTTCCACTGTGCAGCCCTGGTGCCCTGGACCTTGTTCCTCACAAAGTCTTCATCCAGCCCGGCCTGCTTCAGGGTGTCTTGATACCTTTGTTCTGCTTCTTTCCTGGCAAGGTCCTGTGGAAGGAAACTAATCTGTAACTGTCTTGTGAGTTACTTGTGAATTCTAAATTACTAGCTGAACCCATATCCTTAAAATACTGCTCACCACCACCCTCTCCCATTAGTGGGGACAAGATTTGCATAGAAATTACTTCGAGCTTTGTTTTCAAGCCTTAAAGTGCCTAGGAACTATCTGAAGATTTTGTTAAAAAGTAGACTCTTATTTGGTAGGTCTCAGATGGGGCCTGCAATTCTGTATTTCTAACAGCCCCAGGAGATGCCAGCCATTGATTAGGGAGCCACACCTTTGAGAAGCAAGGACTTAGATTTTTGAAAGACCAAGTGAGGTCTAGATGAAAATGATGGACTTAAAAACCCTTGGAGACCTAGCAATATACCACAGATCTAGAGGCTGGTGATGTTCCACCACTATGAACAATGGCTCTGGACAGCAGAAAAGACTGGATTTTCAGTCACATTAATACTAGTAAGTTAAAGATGTGCTTGCTGACACAGCCAAACTCACTGTGTGTATGGGACCTAACTCCCACTCTGATTCATGCTGAAAGCTAGACTACAGTGAAAACTCCAGGAATTGAAATTTCCCATTTTAGATGTCTTTAGAGTCCAGTCTTGGGTGAATTTAGCCCAAGTAACATGTACTATTACTACTTTGGTAGTAATCAAATGGGCCTAATTTAGAATCTTTCTGAGCTTCAAGGAAATGTTTAATACTCAGATATTAAACTTTCATGTCTAAGAACCCTTAGAAAGAAAGAAGATGACTGTTTAGTTTTACCTTTGTAACTTGTTCGAAGAGATACGGCCTCATTTGTATTCTCTTTTTCATTTCTTCCAATTCTTTCTTATACTCTTTTGCTCTTTTATGGTCATTGTTCCTGGAATTAGTAAGATTTTTAAAATCCACCTTTTTCCAATCCAGAATACCCTTCATTCCAGTTAAACAGAGTAAGTCCCATGGACATTGTAAATTCCTAACTGTGCCTGGCAAAACTCATGACTGCCATTATAGGAGCCTACCCTAGTCACTCCATTTTGCTGTTTTCAAGACCAATGATCTGCTGGATCCCAAGACACAACCCTTTGACACATGGAAGACACTGACCGGTTTTCTTTCAACTTTGCTTTGAATACCTCCTCCAGGCTTTTGTGGGGATCCATGGCTTTTGCACGCAAGGTCACGGATTTGGACATTGCTTGACACTTCTTTTTATGCATCTCCAACCACTGAGTACTCTCATGTGCTTTGTTCTTTTTTTCAAGTGAACTTCTAAAGGGAGGAGGCAAAAATAAAAAAAAATACAGATGACCAACTTGGATATATTTAAAAGCAATCTTAGTAACCTCTCTGGAAAGTTGGTGTTGTCTATGAAGGGGGGTGGGGGAGTAATTTACCTCCCTGGCATTTCAGAAAGATTAAGATTCTGGCATCAAATGCATGGGCATATGATGCCTTCCCAGCACTCTGGATACAGTGATATTCTACCCAGGAGAGTCTCACTCATTGAACTGAAAAAACGTGTGAATAAAATATCCTTACTTAAACAGCCAAACATTCAGGCTTGTTGTCTATCCTGAAACAAAATACTAATAGCTACCAGTAGCTGAGTTATGTACCTGAACCAGTGCAAACAGTCCGCAAGTGCTTTATGTCCACCATCTTGTGTAATCCTCATAACTGCCCTGTGAACTAGGAGCATTCATTGTATAGGCAAAGAGATGTAGCCTCAGACAGGGTAAGCCACTTGCCCAAAGCTACCCAGCGTACCAGTGGAAAAGCCAAGGTTAGAATCAGGATATCTGCCTTGTAAGTCTCTGCCCTTGGTGTAGACACTGCTATAAACAGTGGGCTGGAAGGTGCCCGAGTTTATGGTCCTTTGGGAATACAGATAACTAGAAATGGTCTTTTAATGCACAATTTGTAACCAACTTTTAGCACTTCGTTTGTGTAAATATTCTACAAGGTATTATGGAGAGTTCTACCAAAGGAAAAAAGTCAAGACTCCTGCATTTGGCCTGCACTCGAAGTGGACAGATTAGGAAGGAGGACATTAAAGTTTTATCTACTGCGAGGAAGCAGCTGTGGACATCCTCTACAGGTGGGCCAACCTCTGGTTCATAATATCTAATTGGCACCTCAGAATATTGCTACATTCAGCCTTGATTTAGTAGCTCTATGAAATTTGAGGGAAAGGGAAATATCCATTGGATTCTAAATACATCTCTACAATCTGTGTGGGTATTAAAGGGCCAAGTCGGTTCTGTTACTCCTCTGTGAGCTCCACAGGAAAGCACCGATATGCTGGTCCTCTGCACACTTCGTCTCAGAGGCCTAGTGGAGAAACTCTTGCTGGCTCAATGAGAACAATTCCATGACAGAGGAAGGTCAGTTAAAGAGCTAAAAATAAGGAGGCGCCTGATTCCCAACTGACTTCTGATAGTTCCCCAGGATGAATCTTGGAGAATTTCAAATATGTGCAATGGATGCTCATCTCTGTGGCAGGCTCAGCCACCTGTCATGCTTCTCTGAGTTCCTGCTCCTAATGGGTTCCTTCCTTTTTCATCTATAGGTCTTTACCAATGTTGTTGTCTGGAAGCTTCTTTCTTTCCAGCCTTTGGCTTATTCCTCTTTCTTCAGGTTTCACCTTAGACATCTATTACAAGGGTCCCCTGCCCCAGGCTTCCCAGTGCCTCCACAGTCCCCTGTATTCCCTCATCATTGCACTCACTAACAAAATAAGGTCGTTGCTTCATTGCTTTTCTGTATTTCAGATTAGGTATTAAACTATAGGTTCCATAGGTATCTCCAGCCTTAACATTCTACCTGGCACAGAGTAAGGCCCGTGAATATCTGCTGAATGATACATGTTTTCCAGCCCTAAGTGTGGAGGACCACACATATTCCTGTCCTGATCAGAGAACTTCCTTCCACGCCTTTAGCTTTCCGATAACAGGAGAGGAGGCCCAGCAGTGGGGTGGTTTCCATCATGTGGGCCACGATCCGGGCATTACGAGTCTTCTGCAGCCTGAGCACTCACCTGACTGCAGATTCCCTCTTCCTGGTGGCATCTGTGATGTGCACAGGTAGGGTGTTGGCAGAGAGGGAAGCAAGGCCACTCAGAGAATGACTCCTTGGCCGGGGAGCAGCAGGTGGCTGTGGAGAGTCCTAGAGGAAAACAAAGGCTGGTATTGGTGGGACAGCATGTGTGATTAGGTTCTATCTTAGCTGGAATCAATTTCAGTTAAGATAGAAACTAATCAGACTCAATCTTTTTTCCGGGGATTAAAGCCAAGGGTAATGAGATTTCAAGTTTAGTAATTGGGACAGACTTGGATGTCAATCCTGAAGGTTTTTTTCGTTGTTAATCCTCACCCGAGGATATTTTTCCATTGATTTTTAGACAGAGTGGAAGGAAGGTGGAGAGACAAAGAGAAACATCGATGTGAGAGAGACACATCAATTGATTGCCTCCCACACATGCCCCAACCAGGGCCCTGGGCCGGGAATCGAGCCTGCAACCAAGGTACATGCCCTTGACCAGAATAGAACCTGGGACCCTTCAGTTCAGGGGCCGACGCTCTATCCACTGAGCCAGACTGGCTGGGGCAATCCTGAAGTTTTTAATCAAATGAGAAGAGTTCTCTGGAATTGGTATAGGGACACAACAATTGATCCCAACTTTCTGCCTCCCAGACCTGCTTGAACTTATTTCTTCAATTTCTCTGGAGAGAGGGAAGGAAAAGAAGTATTCTTGTGGTCTTAAGTTTATAGGAATTGTGGATCTGTGATCTGCTTATAGCCGAACTGGTGTTTTTTAAAAAAAATTAAGATAGAAAAATGCCATGAAAAGTGCCTTCCATTGAGACGTGGCCCTCTTTGGATTTCGGGCCTCCAGGCCCTTGACCCCCCCCCCCCCCCCCCCCCCCCGCAACTGCCTGGGCTCTCACCTTCCTCCCTCCAGTGGCAGCAGCATCACAGGGCCGCCGAGTGTGACACAGGCTGGCGGTTCTCAGCAAGAAGGGCTTGCTGCGAGTCCCCTCTCGGGTGTCCCTTCTCTTTGCAGCTCTTCTCTGGAAGGCCTTGTAAAGGCCCTCATAGTCAGGGACAGCAGGATTCACCCGAGGCTGGAATCCAAAGTCAGTCTGCAGAAACCCAAGCTTTTCCTGCCAGGTTCGGGTGGCTGTGCGGAGCTGTGGGTCAGCCCTGGAACTGGAGGAGATGACGGGGGAGGAGGCCATCTTGAGCATGTCCATGGCTCTCATTTGGATGCGAATTTTCCTGAAGAGCTCAGCTTCTGTGAAGAAAAATCAGGGTGGTGATGGGTGAGAAGGGACCGAGACTCATACCAAAAGGTTTGGAGAACGTTCCCTCTTTTAAACACTAGCAGTAACGTGCTGGAACCAAATGTTAACTTTTCAGGAATTTTGTGATCCAGCTGACATCATGTGGGAAGCTTGAAATTGGCCATGATAGGCATATTTACACCACAGAAAATGGCAAACACTACAAATCGGTTTGCTTTTTTTTTTTCCTGGAGAGCTCATTAATGCTGACGAGAACACTGCCAGGTACCAATCAGGTTGCAGAATCAGCTGCCATTCACATTTACTGAGTGCTTTCTCTGGTTCCTTAAGGATGACCAGGAGGAATGGGCCAGTCACCTGCTCCCCAGGTCTCCCCTGTCTCAGAGGTAAGGCCCCACCACCCACACAACGCCCGAGCCCATTATCCAAATCATTCTTGACACTCCCTCCTTCATCTTATCAGTCACATGTTCCACCGTCTCCTCCGCTTTAACCTGTCTCCAGTCCAGTCTCTTTTCGTTGTCCCTGCTACTAATTTCATAATTTCTCAAATGAATTGTTGAAATAGCCTCCTGTTATATCAGCATCCCTGAGTCTTGCACCTCCCCCTTTAATGATCTCAACAGCAATCAGAGTGATCTTTCTGAACTTCGTATCTGATCATGAGCCACTCTACTTAAAACCCTCCAGTGGCTCCCCAGTGCCCTTGGGTGAAGTCCAAACCCTTCCCACGGCCCACAAGGCCCCAGGTCTGGCCTATACCTGCCTCTCTCCTCCCCACTCTCCCTCTTCTCTCCACCCTCTACCTTTTCACCCCTGACTGTGCTCAACTTTCTCCCACCTCCATGCTATAGCTCTGCTGGTACACTCTTCCTCCCTCTTCATCAGGTTAACACAGCTCACCCTTCAGAGTCAGCCTCAGTGCTCACTTTCTCTGGGGACCCTAACTGTTCCCACCCCTCACCACACCCTAAGTTAGGTCCTCTGTTATAAACTCCATAGGACCCTATAATCCCTGCAAATGACTCATCAGAGTTGTGGTTATTTATCTATTATCTGTCTCCCTCCCATGTCCACAAACTCCATGTCTATTTATTTACCCTAGAATAATGCGTGGGACATGGCACATGTTACTGAATGAGCAAAGAAAGCCTGAGTCTCTTATTTGAGCTGCACTTCTTGAAATGAGTACCTCACCAGGATGGGGGGGCGGGGGGCGCTTTCCTCAGAGGCAGGTGGCACCGGTCTAAGCCTGTCTTTAGGTGTCTCATTGGTTCTCTGTTCTCATATCTGTGCGGCCACAGAGGCCTTCACGTGCACTCACTGAGAGAGAGGTCAACAGGGCAAAGCTGGTGGGGAGTGCTGCAGGACATCTCCTGGTTCCTTGCTCCTTACAGGGTTCCCCCTTGTGTAAATACACCCAACCTACTCCATGGCCTGCACTGATGGCCTCTAGCAGGGCCACCTGAACAGCTCATCTCCAAGCCAGGCTAACCCCTGAGCCTGACTAAATCCCCACTGCACCCCCGGCAGGAGGCAGCAAGGTGGCCAGGTTGTCTTTACCCTGGAGTTTGTCCCCGAGAGCTGGCTCCAGAATGGACTTGGGGATCCTTCTAGCGGCAGTCTGCTTGGAGGCCTTGGCCTTAGCACTGGCGGCCAGTTCCCTCCGTTGAGCGGCTTCCTTCCGTTGCTCCTCCTTCTCCAGGAAGCTGAAGGGTTTGAAAGACGAGAGGAGCAGTTCTTTCCTCTTCTGGATCCCGGCCTGCCTTCGGGCCTCATTGCGCGCCATGATTTCCTGGTAGAGGGGCAGGTAGACATGCGCAGGCACGGGCTGTGCTCGGAACTGCCGGTGGCACTCGGCCTCCTCCTGGCCCTGCCTCTGGGCCTGCTGCCTCTCCAGCTCGAAGGAGGCAGGTGAGGCCAGCCACTGGGCCTTTTTCTGGGCCTCACGCACCGTCATCCGGAACGGCTGAGGAACAGTGATGGAGGATGCCCAGGAGCTGAGACTTCTGTGCTGGGAAGGAGGCCGGGAGCCTGTGGGTGGCTGGGACTGAACCTTGGGAATGTCGGAGGGTAGGTTGCTCAGGGAGCTGCAGCGCCTTGTGTAGCCACTCCTGGGGGAAGAAAGCAGTGTGCCTGGAGGACAGGGTGGCCAGGAGGCCTGGCTCCTCCCAGACCCTCCTCCCCACTGCTCCCCAGACCTCTCTGCCAGCAGGTTGCATCTAGCTTCTCAGCCTAACATTGCAGCCCCACAGGCCTCTAAGCCTTTCCCTTCCTCAACCAGGCCTCCCTCCTTCCCACAGGCCATCTAGCAGCCTCAGTAAGAAATCTCTTCTCAAAACTGATCCCAAAATTGCCACTTTGCACTCTAATAGTTTCATAGGGGGATAGCGCAGCGGTGCAGAGCAGGGCTTTAGAGTCAGAGCCAGAGTCAAATCCTGCTTCAAACAATTGCCAGCTGTGTGACCTTCAGCAAGGTTCTCTTGGAACCTCAATTCCTCATCTGTAAAATGGCAAAATAATATCTATTTACAGGGTGGTGGGGAGGAGAAAAATAAATATTAAAGCATACCTACATATAACAGGGCTTGGCCAAGGTAAATGTGCCCTGTTGCCATCCTCAGGGAGGTAGTGCATTTGGGAAAGGCATCAGTTTGATCGATCCCAGTGCTTCGGGTGACTAAGGGTTACCCAGAGTGATTTAGGACTGCTGGGTAGGAATCAGAACGCATGTTTGGATCCAGAAGCTGATTCTTCCGGAGCCTGGGTAAATGGCAACCTGAAAAAGTGGTCTTTGCTTTACTGAGGAAGAAACACAGTGAAGCAGCTGTTGAACTGCAGTGCCTCACCTTGGCGATGGTGGGTACTGGACCTGCGGCTTCCCCCTGCCTTTGTTCTGGAAGAAACTCTCCAGGTCCTCAGCATCTTCAGAGAGGCTCTCATCACTGTCTGGGTCAGACTGATGAAGGGATTCTGACAGGCACCACCTGGCTTTCTGCGTCAGTGCTTGCAGGGTCTCATAAAAGCTCCCAGTTGAGTCAGCAGAAGTAGAATCTGTCTCCTCCAGGCTGAGGAACTCATCAAGTTTGCCAGCCCTAGGCAAAAACAGCCCATCCCCAGACAGCTCCTCTTCTGCCTCTGTGTCTGAGGAGGATTTGGGGGGAAATACCTAAAATGAAATAGGATAGACCGGGGTCAAACTATAATTTCAAATTTATTCAAAACATAACTGTTAATTTCACTTTGAATAAGCCTCTATATATTAGGGACTGGGGATGAATGGATTAGAAAACTATGGTACATCTACACAATGGAATACTATGCTGCTGTAAAAAAGAAGGAATTCTTGCTGTAAGGCTCAGTCGACAGAATGTGGGCCTGTAGACTGAAGGATCCAAGTTCAATTCCAGTCAAGGGCACTTTCCCCAGGTTGGTTGTGGGTACATCCCCAGTAGGAGATGTGCAGGAGGCAGCTGATCGATGTTTCTCTCTCATCGATGTTTCTAACTATCTCTCTCCCTTCCTCTCTATAAAAAATCAATAAAATATATTTTTTTTAAAAAAGAAAAAAATTTAAAAAGAAAAAAAAAAGAGAAGGAATTCTTACCATTTGCAACAGCATGGATGGAACTGGAGAGCATTATGCTAAGTGAAATAAGCCAGTTAATGAAAGAAAAATACCACATGATCTCACTCATTTATGGATAATAAAGACCATTATAAAACGATGAACAAAAATAGATACAGAGGCAGAGCAGCATTGAACAGACTGTCAAACTACAGCAGGAAAGCTGGGGAGGGTTGGGGGTGGGGGTAAGAGATTAACCGAAGGACTTGTATGCATGCATATAAGCATAACCAATGGACACAAGACACTGGGGGGTAGGGGAGGCTGGGGGAAGGTTAAGGGGGGAAAAAAAAGGAGACATAAGTAATACTCTGTAATACTTTAAGCAATAAAACAAAATTTTTAAAAAAAGAATTTTTATCTAAGAAAAAAAAAAAGAAATTTCACAAATTGGTATATGGGGTGTGCTTGGGTCAATCCCAAGAAAATATACCTGCCAAGGACTCCTTGTGTTAATTGGGCTCAAATTCATAACCAGAGTGTAGCAGCCATTGTCTACAATGGTCCCTCACCCCCATGGGATGTCAGGGAAAACCTCAGCTGGAGCTGCCAGCCTCATGTACTGTGTTCCTGCCACCTGAGTTGACCTTTATAATAGAGCTCCTGGAGCTATCATTCAACCAATGGGCTGAAGACCTACCCTATCCAATTGGAGCTGTGCAACTATGTCCTCATTTGCATATTAACTGACCAATCAGAACACAAGAAGTCTGTGGTTCATTTGTATGAAAACTGATCAATCAGAGACTAGAAGGCAGACACTCCTCTGTATAAGCCAGCAGATTGTGTTTCCCAGGTTTGCAAACTGAGCTGCAACCCTTGAGTTGTTTTACTGAATAAAATCTCTCCTGGACCGCACCCAAAATTGGGGACTTCTGATGGTGTTGAATTGTGGCAGCAACCTTTGGTTGACAAAAGACGGGAAAGAGAAGCAAAGAGCTGAAATTGGGTCCCTACTTCATGCAGTGCGGTGAGCATTTACAGAGAAACTACTCTGCACCAGGCATTCTGCTCCCTCCAGGAATCCTACCCATGACCTTGGCCACACTTTGGGCCCTGCCCTATTTGGGTTTTACCAACTTTTGTCAATCTTCCTTTTCTTGCTTCCTCTGTCTACACCTTTGCTTTCCTCATATTCTAGCTGATTTCTACTGTGTCACTAGGAATGAATAATTGACAGGAGAGACAATGTGGTCTAGCTGAATGAACAATGTTCTAGAATATGGGAAACCCAACTGGGTTTAAATACTCCAGAAAATATACATTATTAGGTGATTAATCTGCTCTAGGCATTAAGCTGAGAACAGGACAAGGCCCCTACCTTCATGAAGCTAACATTCTAGTAAAGGAAGACATAAGATAAAAGATAATAATTTAGTGAAATCCATAAAACTATGAGATTATAGAGTAGCTACAGGAAGCTTTCCTTATATATGGGCTAAAAAAACCATCAGATAAAGACTATATATATTTATGTAAAGATAGAAATATATTGTGGTAGGTGTGTATGCTTGTACTATAATCAGAGTTAGGTTTATTAACTTGCTGCAGTAAACTATGGAAAATTGTAGGGAACTTGGGAGGGGCTAGCTTTTAGTAAGAGGGTGGGAGAGGGGCTTTTTCTAGGATTAGCTTGTCCTGAATAATTCTGATGAGAGTTAGGGGAAGCAGGGATCAACTCTGAGTGGATGCTGTTGTGAAGAGGGGGCAGTTTACTAAGTGGATGACTGAGCAATTTTTACTCAAAAGGTGACAAGAACAGGGTAGGGGAGGCTGGGGGAATGTCAAGGGGGGAAAAAAGGAGACATATGTAATACTCTTTGTAATACTTTAAGCAATAAAACAAAATTAAAAAATTTTTTTTAAAAAAAGTGACAAGAACAAGTGGGCTGGGTAAGTAATTGATAGGTAAGCATAACCATTTAGAAGGGGGTGTTGGTCATTTTACAGCATGGTGTGGTCCTATGAGAAACACCGTTTTCTGCTGATCTTGCTGCTGGCCTTATCTGTCTACTACGGTCTGAACTGTACTTTCTCAGACCTGGGATGATTTTCACTTCTCACTGTGGAGGAGTTCGGGATTTACACATGACTGATGGGAAGGAGCCAGCCTTGGTTAGATCTGGGGTAAGCGGTTTCTGGGTTCAAGCAAAGACCTTGAGGCAGGGACCTGAGGCAGGAACACACCACTTGGCTCCTGGAGAGGTAGTAAGAGGGCCAGTGTGAAAGGTGTGGTGGTGCCAGGATGGGACCAGACGATGACTGACTGCAGCTGGACTTGCTGATGATTTTACTGGGTTCTCTAAGGTCCAGCTCTAACACTGCGAAGATCACTAGACTGAGTCAAAGGTATGTAGGTGCTCTAGCCCTCACTCTGCTACTGAAGAGTGTGTGATCTTAGGAAGCTTCCTTTTTAAAGGACTTTATTGAGATATAATTCACATATCATGCAATACACAGAATTCACTTGTTTAAAGTGTGCAGTGGGGCCCTAGCCGGTTTGGCTCAGTGGGTAGAGCGTCGGCCTGCGGACTGAAGGGTCCCGGGTTCAATTCCAGTCAGGGGCATGTACCTTGGCTGCGGGCACATCCCCAGTGGGAGGTGTGCGGGAGGCGGCTGATCGATGTTTCTCTCCCATCAATGTTTCTAACTCTCTATCGCTCTCCCTTCCTCTCTGTAAAAAAATCAATAAAATAAATTTTAAAAATAAAAATAAATAAAGAGTGCAGTGGGTTTTAGTATATTCACAGTTGTGCAACCGCCACCAGTTTTACATGTTAGTCACTCTAAAAAGAAGCCCCATACCATTTAGCAGTCACTCCCTGTTTCCCCCAACCTTCCCAACCCTTCCCCACCTCACTTCCCAGCTCACCCCTCATCCTTCCCGCCAGCCCTAAGCAACCACCATTCTACTTTCTGTTTATATGGATTTGGGGGCAAATTTCTTAATCTCTGTGCCACGGTTTTCTCTTCTACAAAATGGAGACAACAATCCACGACAGCCCTAGGGTAGCTGAGAGGATAAAGCGAAAACTGAGGGCCATTGCACGGTTCTGCGAAGAGCCTGACATAGGGCTCATGGGTTCAGGCACTGCTAAACGCGACCAATTTTAATCCCACGCCCCTCGGGACCACGCCCCTACGTCTGTCTCCAAGGCAACGTCAAACACTTTCCTCTCCTAGGCACTCCTTTCCGGGGCCCAGACCTGATTTCCCCCTCTGTTTTCTTCCTCACCTGAAGGCTCCGAGCGCCGCCCGAGGCTCCCGCACGCTTCCCCACAGTCATCTTCTCAGTGGGGCAGAGACAGCAGCGGTGACTGCGGTGGCGGTGCTACCTACGCGACACCAGCGGTGACTGCGGTGGCGGTGCTACCTACGCAAGCCAAGTCCCGCCCCTTTCTAGACCTGTGCTCTGATTGGCTCCCAGGCGGATGCTTGAACCAGTCCCCCACCAGGGAGCCTCTAATCCATCCCGCCCAACGAGGCAAAACTTGTTCTCCGATTGGCTATTCCCTTTCACCTCCTATTTCCGGTTCTGAGGCCGCAAGGCTGAGGCGGCAAGTGATTGGAGGGCTCTGCTCTGGAAGTGCTACCCAAGGCGGGCCTAGCGGGGTGCCGAGGAGGGAGCGGGTCTGCACCATGGCGGCTCTGTTGGCTGGGAGCCGGGTCGGGGCTGCACGTGCGGCTGCCCGCAGAGGCCCGCTAGTCTCCTGTCGGAGGTGGGCCGGCGCCCCGGCAGACACCGTGTACGATGTGGTGGTGTCAGGTGGAGGCCTGGTGGGCGCCGCCATGGCCTGTGCCTTGGGTAAGCGCATCTCCAAGGCCAGCCGTGTGGGGGAGAGGGGCCGTGGAGCGGTGGGGACCCTGGGAGTTCTGGCACTGTTTTCCCAAAGTCTGAGCGTTCCGGATCTTGTGGCCCTCTCCCCTCCCCAGAGGATCCCCGGGGCCCCAGGGCCAGCGTTTGGTTCTTCGGGTGCCGAAGGGTCAAAAGTGGGAGGTTCCTTAGGAGTCCTTCCAACCTGAAGGGAAACACACTGAGTGGCCAGATTGTTATGACCACCCCATCAGTACCATGAAGTGAATTAGTTATGCAAGTAATAATAATAATAATAAAACCTTGAGAGTATTTGCTTAGGGAGTTTTCAATGTTCAGTATTTTTGGAAGTACTGATGGGGTGGTCATAATAATCTGGCCACTCAGTGTAGACCTGCTCAGAGTTATTTAGCTATGGGCGAAACTGGAAGCAGCCAGGCATTGTTGCATTGGGCTAGGTGTTTTCTCCCTCCCCTTCCCCCTCCCCCTCTTTCCTTTCTTTCCTCTTTCTCTGTGTGTGTGTGTGTGTTAACAGCTTCATTGAAATATAATTTGCATACCATACATTTCACCCATTTGCCACTATTTTATTTATTGACGGATTTGAGAGAGAGAGAAACATGGATTTGTTGTCCCGCTTATTTTTGCATTTATTGGTTGATTGTTGTTTGGATGGAACCGCAATCTTGGTGGATGGGACATTGTAACACACTGAGCTACGGGGCCAGAGTTAAAGTCCACCCATTTGAAGCATACAATTTAATGTGCGTGTTTTTTTGTATACTCACAGAACTGTGCAGCCATCACGACACATTTTGGAACATGTTTATTACCTCCAAAAGAAATCTGAACTCATTGGCAGCCACTGCCCATTTCCCCCCAATCTTAGCTCTAGGCCAGTGATTTTCAATGGCTTTCATCTCATGGCACACATAAACTAATTACTGAAATTCCGTGGCGCACCAAAACATGTATTTTTTGCCGATCTGACAAAAAATAGGTATAAATAGTTATAATTTTGATTCATTCACACTGATGGCTATTGTGTTGGCAGTTGCCATTTTTGAATTTGACAAGGGAAAGAGGTCAGTGCCCCTGACTAGTCAGGGATTGCATGTTTTAAAAATTCCTGCAGCACCACTGGTTGCAAATCACTGCTCTAGGCAACCACTCATGTATTTTTCTGTCTGTAGATTTGCTTTCACTGGACATTTCCATCTACATGAAATCTACTTAGTGTTCTCAAGGTTCATGTGCCAATACTTCATTCATTTTATGGCTGAGTAATATTCCATTGTGTGGATATAATACATTTTGTTCATTCATTCATTAAGTGATGGATGATTTTGTGTATACGCTTTTGTGTAAACATATTTTTGGTTATCTTAAATAGATTCCTAGGAGTGGAATTGCTGGGTCATATGGCAATTCAGCCAAACAGTGTTCCAAACTGGTTGCACCATTTTACATTCCTCCCAGCAATATAGGAGTGGTCCAGTTTTTCTACATCCTGGACACTTGTTAATGTTCTTTTGTTTTTAGTCATTCCATTGGGTGTGAAGTGGTATCTCCTGGTTTTGAGTTGCATCTCCATAAAGACGAGTGGTGGTGAACATCCTTTCATATGCTTATTGGTCATTTGTATATCTTTTGGGGAAATGCCTGTTACAGTTTTTGCCCATTTGAACTATTTGTCTTTATTTTTGAGTTGTAAGAGTTTTTCATGAATTCTCAGTACACATCCCTTGTCAGATAAATGATTTGCAAATATTTTCTCCCATTTTGTGGGTTGTCTTTTCACTTTCTTGATGGTGTCCTTTGAAGCCCAAAAGTTTTTTACTTTTTATTTTTTGTTCCTTACCTGAGGATATTTTTTCCATTGATTTTTAGAGAGAGTGGAAGGGAGGGGGAAAGACAGAGAGAGAAACATCGATGTGAGAGAGACATTGATTGGTTGCCTCCTGCACACAGACCGACTGGGAATGAGGATCCAGCCTGCAATCCAGGTACATGCCCTTGACTGGAATTGAACCCCCAACCCTCAGTCTGCAGGCCAACACTCTAACCACTGAGCCAAACCGGCTAGCGTCAAAAGTTTTTAATTTTGATGAAATTGAACTTACCAGTCTTTCACCACTTATGTTTTTGGTATCATATCTAAGAAATCATTACCTAACCCAAAGTCATGAAGATTCACTCCTATGCTTTCTTTTGAGAGTTTTATAGTTTTAGCTCTTACATTTAAGCCTATCATCTACTTTGAGTTAAACTTTGTGTATAAGGTGAGGTAAGAACTTTGCTTTCATATTTATAGTTTTGGCTGCTTCACTACCCTGTGAGGTAGATATTACTTTCATATCTTATCTGAGAAAAGTTGCCTGGCAAAGGTTAAGTAAGGACCAGAGTCTCATAACCAGGCACTAGGAGAATCTGAATTCAAACCCAGGCTACCAAACTCAGGAAAGTTTGCTTTTAACAACTGTACAGTGACTTTCAGAAATTAGGTTTGATTTTTCTGGCCTCACAAAGATCACTAATAGTGTTTGTTGACTTGAGAATTAGAGTGTGGTTCCCCTTCTAGGAAACTGGTGGGAAACAATGCTATGTATAAGCTGATGGGCTTGAGTCTCAAAGTAATTATAGAAAACATAGTTATCAATTATTAAGCACTTGCTATGGATAGGCATATTTTAAAGTATTCTACATACATTTTTATTTAATCTTCATAATAATCTTGATTGTCGATTGTGCAGGTAAGGAAGTTAAAGCTCAAGAAAACTTAAGTAATTTGCACTCAAAAGCCAGTAATTAGGAAAAGCAAAGATTTTTGTGTATATACCCTTTCTCCCTGACAGCTATTTTGGTTGTACCTATTGATAAATGGATTAAAATAGTGGTTCTCAGGTGCATTTAAGAATCACCTGGGTTGTTTTGTTTTGCTTTGGTTTTGGGTTTTGAAAAACTAAGACAGGCACATATATAAAATTCAAAAGGAATTTTGAAATACAAAGGGTATTGGATATAGATTTTATTTTTTTTATATATAAGCCTAAGCAACCGTTTGACTGTTCAACCGGTTGCTATGACGTGCACTTATCACCAGGGGGCAGACGCTCAATGCAGGCGCTGCCCCCTGGTGGTCAGTGCGCTCCCACAGCGGGAGCACCGCTCAGCTGACCAAGGGGTGCCAGATGCAGAGCTCATGGCTGGCCGCCACAGCCTGGAGACCGCAGCAGAGTGGCCGTGAGCCTACTGAGGGGTGGCAGCAGGCACAGTGGTGCAGGGATGAGCAGGAGCGGCAGACAGCGTTGGACTGCCAGTTTAGGCCCGATCCCCGCAGGCCATGCCGAGGGACCCCTCTCCTCCCCCACAAGTCCGTACACCGAACCTCTACTAAAGCATATCAAGTAAGACTTCATTTTTTATTGTTAGCCACCCAGTTCTCTTCGAGGACAATCATTGTTACCCGTTTGTGGGGGATACTTTAGAAATGAGGGTTCAGATTTCTACCTCCAGTAACTGATTCAGTTTGCCCAGGTGAGGCCCTTTATTAACATGTGTCTCTGGGGATGGATGCAGATCTGAGGACCACACTTTGAGAATGGGAAACACTGGGAAGTGCTTAATTGTCTTGTAATAACTTTACCTCTTAACTTTTGTACCATGTTATACACCTTTCATAGGCAGGTGCAGTGGGGGGTGTTTTCTCCTGTTGAGTCAGGTGAACTACCTGCTTGGGATTTTGTGTGTGCTAATGTCTCCCCTTGATCGTCATGGCATGTATCCCAAAGAAAATGCCTTGTCAGTAGTTATATCCTGACTGACCTTACTTTATAGTTCTACACCCATTTGATTTTAGATAGATGGCTCTTCATCTTGTATCAGTCAGTTTATGTTTTCCTTGATTTTTCTTCAAACTCCAATTTCTGTTCTAGGCTTGAAATATCTGTATTTCCCTTTTACATTGTTATTTGTAAACTTGTAAATTCTCTAATATTTTTTGACAAATGAGTTTTCTAAAATGTTACATTAAATAGCTAAAAAATAAAGTATTAAACTTGGCTATATCTTATAATGTGTTTGGAAATCTAATTCTTTTCCTGTTAGTTTCCTGGTCTCTTGTTTAACAAAAATCTCTGTGAAGACATTATCTTTGTACTTTATGGATTGAGGAGATAACAGCATTTGCTGCTGGGGATATTAATATAAGGGGGGAAAAATTCCTGTCCCCTAGGAGTTTAGAATCTAGCATAGGAGAAAGATTTGTAAATAACTGATCAAAGGAGGAATGAGATGAAGCTCTCCTAGAGGAACGGGGTGGGGAGAGGTGGTCGGGCAATTCTATCACATATTTTTCTCCTTTATTGGCAGCAGCAACTCACTGCATGTTTTTCCCCTGTGTCTTTTTCTGAGACACTGGAGGGACTGTAATGTGCTACAGACACCCAGTGATGGAGTCCCCAAGTACCCCCCCCCTTTTTATTTTAAATAATTTTTTATTGATT